TCACTCATACCTGACAACTGGCTCAACGTGTAACGCCAGGATTTGCCCAAAGTACGGGGGGGGGGGCACCGATGTGTTCCTGACGAAAGTGAAGGTAGTCGGGCGTCGCTCGAAAGTACAGTTGGCTCTCCAATTCGAGACTACCTTCTGGACCTGAAAAATTGGGGTGGTATCTGGGTTGGTCTCCAATTAGGGGGCTAGCTTTGTGTTGAAGATTGTTATTTGGGTCATTGGAAAAGTGGTCTCGAATTAGAGGGGTCTCGGATTTAGAGGGGTATCAAATTTGAGGGTGCACTGTATATCACAAAAGCTTATTTTTAATCAATTTAAGATAAATATGTAGAAAATACATAATATTTTTCCCCAGCAAAAGTGATTTTTTTTTCACCGACGGGGGTTTCTGGCCCCAAACACCACCTTAGCGCCACACCAGACTGTCTCTTCCACACCTAAGTGTAACTCTACCACTTTGGCAACATTGGTAGGCCTATGCTGCGGTTAAATAAATGATATACCTGTAATTATTTTCCACTACAAGGCATTCATAAGGCACTTTGCCTCAATAGTGTCATTACCATGACCAAGAAAATACAATGTTACTATTATTTCCATTATGATTTTCAGTAACGCATGAGTTACAATTTATAGAGGGGAGTTATTTCCTATTTTTTCATTAACAAAAGAATCAACTTGAACAGCAGGAACTCAGATGTTTAGACCTAATTTTTTAACTTCTTTAAATAAAACAGCATCCATCGACATCTGCAGAGTTATTATTTGTGCTTAGTGAGACCAGCCTACCATAAAGCGTTAGTAAGTTGTTTTGTTTTTTTTTTCAATCAGACCCATCACCTAAAAACATCTGGAACAACTCACTTTAGAGCAAATGTAGGAGTAAAACGAGTCTCAAATTTTCGATTTTTAGCCTGGTTTAAAATATGGGTACAGGCCTAGATAGATATTCACGCAAATATACAGGCAAGTCATTCCAATTTCAGTGGAGCATCTGCAAATGCTATATCATCATACGTCTTTAGTTGACTAGAGGGGAAGAACTTAGGAACCGTTGGCATGTGATTGACATTGGCGTAACTGGCACGTCCCCCCACTTTTCAAACTAGGGGGACATCATATCGATTGTCCCCCCCCCCCACACTTTTCACCAATCTTCTATAATTGAAACCCCACTTTTAAAAGTGTATAGAAAGAATTACAATTAATGAATTTTGCCTGTTCACTTTTCCAAGTGCGGTACGTATTTTCCGGATCAAAACTTAGTAAAAACGCAATTGTTTATACATTTCGTAACCATCTCAGAAACACTAGATAGATTTCATGGGTGCAGCGGTTATCATAGGCTAAATTTATTGTGAAAACAATGTACTTAACGTTGTTAAAATTGGAAGCGTGTATACTTATTAGACCAGTATTTTTACAAACTCAAAAGTGCACATTATCTAATATAAACGATTTATTCCTTTTGTATAATACAGTATTATGACCCGTACGTATATACTAGTGTTTAATATTATCTACATACATAGCATTACTGTTTTTCCTAATTAAAAAAAATATATAGTTAGTCAATTGAATTTTATCGGACATGTCTATCTATTTCGATTTAGTAATACAACATTTTTACAAACTCCAGTGTTACGTTGACACAATCTCGCAATGACGTCATAATAATCAGTGCCGAGCCAACCCTAAATTTTCAAAAATATTTTTTTTAAATGAAAAAAACAAAAGGAAAATTATAATTAGAATTTAGGTCTGAGAGTACAATTTCCAGCAATCTAGAGGTGTCACAATCATAAATTTTCTTTTTTGAGCCCCAACCATCACATAAAATTTACTACAATGCAGCAAGTTTCAGAACCAGTAAAATATGTATATTTTTTATAAGTACAGGGAAAATTGCTAGAAGGCCCGATTCTTATGACAGTAATCTAATTAAAGTTGAAGTTATAAATCAGGACCAAACTCAGAAAACGATTATGTTTGTTGCAGAGATTATCAATTCAGATTTTAACCCGGACTATTTTAAGGAACATTACATCTGTTGACCTGTGTGCGAGAAATGTAGTTCATGAGATGGAACGGTATCTACGCTAGATGGCTACATACCAGACCAGTATTATACTGTCTTAATTGGGAAAAAGGTATATAAACAGATATATTAATGTTTTACCTTGAAAAACATAAACTATTATTAACGAACCTAATATAATTTTTAAACGTGGAGTCTTTGCAATGATTTCCAAACAGAGTCACAACGAACGAAATCTAATTGAATCTTAATTCACCTGCACTATTGCTATTTTTTGTGAAAACGAACACTTATCAGGCATAAGTAGGAGGAAACGGGATTAATAATTGAGTTAAATCTCATTAGGTGTACTGAGGTCGTTTAGTGCTCACGTATTATTATGTACACAACGGGACTTGACGTCCTATCTTAAGAATGAGGTAATTTATAATATTATAATTAAGCTTATTTCAAAGCCTAAGATCACAATGCAAAACCAATGTCTTTAGTACAGGTCTGGGATTCGCAACCTCCAGGTGTGAAAAAACTGTAACAAAATAGATCATCAAAGTATCGATCTCACAAAGAGAATATCAATCCATACTTTATATTATTTTAGGCAAAATTAATTACTTTTACAGTCATTACTTTACCAGATCGATTAGCTTTTCATGGCTCAATGTGATGATGTTTATGTACGTAATTACCTAACCTAGTTAACACTAGGCCTAAACAGCAGTAACTGCTGTTTTCATGAGCGCAAACCATGGGGAGACGAGGTGACACGTCCCTCCACATATTTTTATGAAGTATGAGAAAAAGCGTGTAAATATAAGTTTGGTTTTCGGCACACGAAGTAGGTAAAGTAAAGTAAATACATCAAAGACAGTTAAGTTTATTTCTATGGTACAATACAGAAATTAACAAGATCTCTATGATTGCTGAAAATCGCTGATAAAAAACAATTATGTGATGGTAATTAATGTTTTGCTATATAAGAGTGTCATTTTCGGCCATATAGAGGTATTAAACTAAAGGTACTATTTCCTAAACGTTTATCATTTTAGCCCCAACAATGGTGGGGCTGAGGTGGGTGTATAGACTCACGGCTTTGAAGAAGGTAAAGTAAAGTAAATACATCAAAAATAATGTGTTTAAGTTTTATTTTCTATGGTACATCACACATAATATTTAGATCCCTATGGTTGCCGAAAATTTTTGGCCATAATGGTGATGTGATGATGATATATAAGAGGGATATTTCTGGCGATGTAGAGAGGTACTATTTCCTCAAATGTTCGCACCTCAGCTCCAACCATGGTGGCCTGAGGCGGGTGTGGACTCATGAAATATCATCCCCCACCCCCTATACCTTTCCAAAGAGATCTGCACCCTTGGCTGTTTCATCTCATTTTAGTGGTTTCTAAATATCTTTAGGTTATCAAAAATATGGCTATCAAAACCTGTACCTAAACTCAACGCTGATTGTCTAAGTCCATGAAGAATGTTTTGTAAATCATAAACCATGATCTTACCACTTATTTTTCTGGCATGACGTAGGCCTGACTAAAGAAATAACTAAACGAGATAACATGCAACATGCACCCTATCATCATCATCATCATCATTATTATAATCATTATTATTGTAGCGAAAAGTGCTAAGTTCTCATTTGGTTCGAGTTCGAGTTTAGTTAAGGCGCCCTCTCATGTCTTGTTGTTAGGGTACCATCGAAGAGTATGAAACTGCAAGAGGTCCGACTGCCCTGATTTTGTCAATTGTATGCAGGCAATGGAAGTTAAAAGTACTGCCACGAGGTAAGGGGCGCCCTACACCTAACCTCGTACGCGTTGCTCTCATCTTTTAAAGGCCACTCCCCTTCGTGGAACTACTTTTTGAAATAGGATTGCTTTCCAACGAATCCCCGGCAGTCGGACCTCTTGCTTTATACTCTTTGGTACCGAAGAACTATCAACAAATTGATGCGTAAATGATGTACGTAATTGTACCTTTAATTAGTTATTACATATTCAATTAACCATACGCTTAAATCATATTATTATCTTTAGTTATGTGTAGCGGTTCCTTTGTGCGTTCGCTGTGTATAGATACCGTGCTGTAATTGTGAGTGTGGTAACACCTTTATTGTAATTATAGTTTTCCTAATGTTTTGAGCTTTATGATGTTAATATTATATAATGCTATTATATGTTACTATTTTAGAGATAACTATCAATTATGGAGATATCCAGGGCAATTACCAAGGCAACCTATAACAACGCTAACCGTTTTATTACTGTACCAACCACATCTGCTTAGACTGCATTCTACAATAAAACACACACGTGACTAGCCCAAAAAACTTGCATCTATACTTTTCCTTGTATTATTATTATTATTATTATTATTATTATTATTATTAGGCCTACTATACTATTGTTATTACTACTATAACTACTACTACTTGTTATCCTTGTAGTAGAAATCATCGTAACGACTTGTTGTTTTTTTACTGCCTCCTTTCCTATATCCGTCATAAAAGGTTTTTTTAAAAACATTTATAATAATATTCATACTGCTGAATATGCCAAACTATTTTTTATAGGAACATTGAGGCTGAAATTGCATAAAAAATAAAAAGAAAATAAGAACAAAGTAAGGCTGAGGTAAAATGAAATGAGGGTTTTTTTTTTTTTGTTTTTTTTTTTTTTTTTTTTTTTTTTGGTTTTTTTTGTTTTTTTTTTTTTTTTTTTTTTAATTATTTGTTTTGTTTTCGTTTTTGTTTTGTGTTTTTGTCTTTTGCTTTTTTTTTAAATAGAAAAACCAACCAACCTTATCTGTACCTTATATGCAGATTTATGACTATGCGATATTAGTATACTGCTCTACAATAATAATTAACTATCTTTGAAAAGTGTGTAAAATATGAACAAAATAAGAATATTTTAAGCCTGAAATTGGCAACAAAAAGTATGAGCATTGAGTCTGTGCAAAACATTACTGGTTCTTAAAAAAATAAAAAAACAAGTGTAAAGAAAGCGTAGCTAGAGCAGTATTACTTCCTGGAAAATCCATAGAAAAAACGTGCTGTAAAACCATGAAGGTTATTTCCTCCATTGTGAACCGTAGCGTAAAACGCTGTAACGCCACAAAAGGACAATAACTATGTTCTTGAGTACACAGTGCAGGGAAATAATACTACGAAACCAAGTTGCGTTTGATTTATATGGGATTCGAGGCGTCATGTAACAGATCGATTAGTTTCAGCCTCTATGATAATATGCTGTTTATGCATCCACTCCAAAAATAACGTTCAGAGTTAGGCCTACATAGAGAATTTTACTTTTAGCGTACTAACGTCTTCTATTGCAGTGAGTAGCGGACAATTATTGAAATACCATTACTGAAATGTGTAAGATGAGGATGAAGGGTAAGAAACATCATTGGTTATTAGTTTAGTTGTTGTTGACAGATAATTACATATTAAACTACTGTAAGCAATTTCTTTAAATGGATTTTCATTTACCGTACCAGTTCGAAAGATAAAGGAAATTAAGCACTTAATCCATGTTGTGACGTTATTCACGCCTTTAATACGTATAGTCAGATTTATTTGCATTACCCATATTCATGCGTTTGTTATTTGCAGTGCATCAATGGATTTGTGAAGTATGTAAGCGCTCTCATTTATTACAAGAAAGGGAATTATACAAAACTGAAAATCCAACATCACAGGATTTTTATTTAGGTTTTTTTTTTTTTTTTTTTTTTTTTTTTTTTTTTTTTTTTTTTTTTTTTTTTTTTTTTTTTTTTTTTGTGGTAAATCCTATATCCATTTTGTGAATTGCTTTTTTATCCTTGAAGATTGCAGTGATCTACTTAATTCATTGACAATCACAACTAATAATAAACGCAGGTATACATTATTATGGATAATTTCCTGTTAGAGCTGTTACAGAACGTCAAAAAATAAATAAAACTATTTCCTTAAAGAGAAAAATAATAAATAATTACGTTTAATAGTGGTATCATCATTATATATTCAAGTGGAGAAGAGACATATTGTAGGTATTCAGTGTTAACATGTATTGAATATGTATGTATGTAGTATGTGGGATTTAAATAGCACATAACATCTAGGTCTCTTAGAGCTGAGAGACTCGAAAAGAAAAGAAAAAATGCTAAATAGTAGTCATTTTCATGAGATCCGTGACTAATTTTAGGATACCTTTGTTTCTCAATGGATTTGGCAAGATGGACCAATTTAGATAAAATATAGCTCCTATATACCTCCCAGATATAGGGGGAAAGTCCCGTTTGGGGGCGTTTTTCAAAATGGCCGCCTGTTGATTTGGACGCTTGTATCTCGATAACCACTGGTCAGAGAGACTTGATTTTGGTCTCAAATTGTTCAAATATGCATGTTCCTATTTGTTGTAATACAACTTTTTATCATAAATTGGCGGGAAATGCGGTTTTTGAAAGTTTAACCTTTGACCTGGTAATGTCGTATCTAGTAACTACTGGTCATAGAGACTCACAATTGATTGCAAATTGTTCAGGAGATTCATGTTTATATTCGTCCTAATGAAAAACATATTCAAATAGTAACCGGAAACGATACATTCTGACCTTCGACATATTGTAGGGTCATTCCATGTCAAATCAACCAGATTAAAAAGAAATTCCTGTATGACCGTCTCTGATTTTGATAAAACTTTATAAAAATGATCCACTGTATGAAAAACCAACAAAAAAGAAAAAAAATTAGTCTCATATGATATGTAGTTTTGACTCCTCAAAAATATGGGGCGTGGTTCTTCAAGATGTGCAAACGCAATTTACTTTAACTTTGGAAGCTTATAACAGGAGATTGGTAATAGCTATCAGGGTAAAACTTGGTATTCTAACTTATTTTTCTCCATATTTCACAAATATGGCATTAGATTAACAGTTAAACAGTTAGATTAACTTTTAATCGAAGCTCGACTACGCCCACTTTGCTTTCGTCGGTGTAATCTGACACCTCGTCAGAGAAACTGGCCTCTCCTCCCCCCCCCCAATCGGGGACCTCGGTCCCCCGTCGGGCAAATCCTGGCGCACCCCTGGGACCAGTTAAATGAAACGTCCCAGAACACATATTTCTAAAAAAAATCAACTGATCGGAATGAAACATTCGGGAGAAGTTTAAAAGAGAACTAGCAAAATGATTTTTTGTTCTAGAGAGGATTTTTGATACGCCATTAATAATAGAATCAACCTTAAAATCGTTTTTTGGCCTTTTTTAATGAAGTAGGGTATCCGCTGCGTACGATCTTTGCATGTACGCTGTAACCATGGCTGTAAATTGTGATTGTTACAGCATGCACGCAATGATCGTACGCGGCGGATACCCTACGCGATGGATACCCTACGCGGCACTATTTACACTCTTTTGTTACTTTTTCGCCAGTGACGTCATGGTAAAATCGTATATAATCGCCTATAACTTCATAAAAAATAGCAAAAGAACGATTTTAAGGTTGATTCTATTATTAATGGCATATCAAATATCCACTCTAGAACAAAAAATCATTTTGCTAGTTCTCTTTTAACCAAGTTACAAGGAAGAAATTACTATGTGCTGGCGACGAATCAGTCAAGGGGGTAAATGGGAGGGCCATTCAATTTTTGAGGAACCAACCTAAATATCTCTTTAAAAAAATTAATGGATATAAATAATTTAAACATTGTATAATAACAGTCTGTCAAGTAGGGAAAAGCCTTATGTTCTGTTTTCAAACAGACATAGTCTAGATATTCTTCTTATTGTTGTTATTATTATTATCATTATTATTATTATTATTATTATTATTATTATTATTATTTAAGGATATTTGATAGTTAAACGTCTGTAATCAGTGAAAGATTTATTTATCTGTACCTGATTTTGAACTAATAACCAGATTTATTCTTTAAATGGAATTTAATTGAATTTTCAAGGCTTTTCTCCATTTATAATTGTGAAGATGGTATATTTTTTTTAATTCTTTGATTTTAAATTGTATCCTTATTACCTAACGCCATTCACAATCATAATGTTCGATTTCGTCTTGTCCGTGTGTTGTTTATTGACCCTGTGTGCAGGACTGGCACCATGATGTTTTCCGATAGGGGGAAGGGTACGAATAAATAAATAAAATAAAATGAATACATTTAAAACAAAAAGCAAAAATAGAAATCAAGGCACAACAAAAGAAAATGTAAAATCTCTGATAGGTCACCGTTAGCCACCATCCTAGCGCAATCCCGGACCCCTACCTAGGTGACTCGAGCAAAGGAACGGGATACACATTTGCCCTGCCACAGGCGAACAGGTACTTAGGGATGGCGGCCAAGACAAGGCCCACCCCGCCCCCCCCTCAAGAGAAAATGCACACCAATTTATGTTGTAAAGAGATATGCTTTAAGGTTTTTGAAAATGAATAGTGTTGCTGAAAGTGTTATAAATTCGGGAAGACTGTTCCACAGGTGAGATGGGTCTCTATTTCTGCCGTAATGTAATTTGTTTTGATTTTTGTGTATTTTTAATGTTTTTTTAATATTCTATATTGCTTATGATTGTCTTTTTTGTTAAGGTGATACAACACATTGACAGGCCTTGCCTTTGTTGTATTTCCTCCATCTTTATTTGTTGTTTATTGATGATGGAAAATAAAGATTGATTGATTGATAGATTGATGATGCTAATGTAAGAGATCGATCACCACAAAATGTGGTGTTTGTCTTAGGCAGAACTATCCCAGACTGTGAGGATGATCTTAATTTACCTTAGAACATTGGATGATAAATAATTGTCTAATGTAACTAGGAACCTTAGTGTCAATTGTTTTGTAAGTTATAAGTAGAACTTCACAAATGAGCCGTTTGTTGATGGACAGCCAATGTGGGTCATGGAGGAGAGGTGTGATATGTGCGTTTGGTCTTGCTCTTGTTATTAGACGAGCTGCGATGTTTTGAACCCTTTGAAATTTTCCACATATAGTCTCGTGGGAGACTATATGTGGGCTGATGTCCCCCACGAGAGCGTAGGCATGGTCAATATCTTTTAGAAATCGTCCAGGGTTTCGTAGCTCCCGGAACATGTACCGTAACATTTTAAGGGTTTCAAATCTTATTTAATCGATTCTAAAGTCTACTAATTTGTAAAAATATACATATAATTTTTTTTTCCTACCCAACAAATTGTGATTATGGGACAACTATCTCCGAGGGGCCCTGCATCTGGTCCCTCACTGCCCGTGTGCAAAGATCCATGCGACACTGTACTACTTGGAATTGCCCATGGGATTTCGTGTACGACAAAACTTGGTATGGTATACATCTGTTCTATGCCTGTTCTTTTAATACTATATTTTTATTATTTTGAAGATGTGTAATGTCATGAGTATACTATGTTAATATATAGAATTAGTTTTTAATCCAAAATTATAAAATGTATTTCATTATGTTCCGTACTTACAGATTTTGATGTAGCTAATCGTGAGTTGGCAGTTCAAGAAAGAATCATTACATGCATGTTGGTCATAAGCGAGTAAAAGTAAGACAGGATTCTACAATAAAGACTCACGTCAACATTGTTTTAGTGAAACTTTTCCTAATATAAAAAAAAAATATTACATGTTAACTTGTCACAGAAGTTAATATAACGAACGTCAACATGAATAGAACAATGGTCAATTATCTTCGTGGATTCAACTCGTTTGATTGCAGTTTTAACTTGCGTGTACTGGCAGACGATCAAGAGGTAGGATCCGCCTATGAACAAGCAAAAATACGAGGGAGACTTCCTTTTAACCGAACCAAAATCCTAATATTAGGAGATCACGGTGTGGGAAAGACATCGACATGTAGACGCTTAAGAGGAAATAGTTTTCGACGCGACGAGGCTACGACAATAGGAATTGAAACAAATACTGTAAAAGCTAACGTTAGTGATGTCAACAGTAAGTGGTGTGACGTATCAGAAACATCACTAGAAGACTATGAACGTTCTGCAGCATGGTGGGCTGTATCACATATGTGTAAAACCAATAAAAGCGAAATTTCCAAAACTAACAACAGACCTGGGGCGGTGGTTAAAGATGCAATCTACCAAGGTTTACATATAGTTCCACTCATCCTTGTATTTCTTTTTATTGGTTTAAACTTTGGTTTTGGGTTATTTGTATGGGCATATATAATTTGTTTTATGCCTATATTAGATGTTCACACTGCGTACCGTGCCGGTAGTGGATATGCTATGTCATTAGTGATTATAATACATGGACAAATTTGGTTAACTGAAACTTACAACGCATTACCTGAAACAGAAACTTCAAGGTTGGTGAATATTATCATGACAATGTTAGTGTACGGAGTGCTCACTGTTTTTGTTGGCCTAATGATTGGTGGCGGCGGCCGGACTGGCTTATGTGTGGCACTATGCTTTATGATTCCGCCAGAACAAATAGAACTGTTATATCCAAACTTATCAGACACGATGATGTGGGAAGTTCATAACGTTTATTTTGGACTAACCATTTGGATTTTGACTGTCTGCTCTGTGGCAATTTTTAGGTATATTCATGGTAAAATATTACATTTGAATCGGATGGCCCATCTATTACTTTCAATAACTGTTGTAGTCCCAATTGTGATTCTTTTTTACCAGGGATCGCATTCCGTATTATTACTGAAGTCATTTGGAACCGTAGTACTTATTTTTTTGATGGTAACAGGTTGTTTAATTGGAAGAAAATGTTCTGCTTACTGGTACGTGCCACAAAACTATCTGATTAAAAAATCTATTAGCTTCATTTTTGGAATCTGTATGGTAAGACGTTTGGGATGGAAATTCGTAGATTTGGACACTCTGAACTTAACAGAAAAACAATATAAATCTATTCCGTATTTTCTGTTACATATAATGCTATTTTTTATACCAATTGTATTATTCTTTGTGTATGAATGTTTATCATACATCAAAGTCATGAATACATTGTCTGTTCCTTTACCATACATCGGTCAGTCTTTGAAGGCAATCGTTCGTAACGAATCGTATCTGGACGCTAGACTCAGTCTATGGGACTTCGCTGGACAACAGATGTACTACAGCACTCATCATCTCTTTATGCCTAAGCAAGGAGTGTATCTTATCCTTTTCAACGCTGTTGAAGCGGTTATGAATCCAGATAAACAAATCAAACGGCTACAATTTTGGTTACAATCAGTTGCTATGCATGCAGATGTTGAAAATGTTGTAGTATTGCTTATTGGAACAAGAAGAGAAAGTGTGCATGACAAAACTGATCTGTTATATTTCTCAACACTCGCAAAAGCAAAACTCTACAAACGTTTCTCTAAGTTGATTGTATTTCATCCGTTAGGAAACATTGTGTTTTACGTCGAAAATTTACTAAGTACGGACAAAGAAATCAATACATTACGAGAGGTAATATACAATGAGGTCCAAAATATGAAGTATTTTCAAGAAAAATTTTTAATTAAATATCTTCTATTCAATGAAATTTTAAACAAGTTTCGACAACAAACATGCATTATTATAGGGTTAAATGAGATTTTAGAAGAAGTAAAATCAACATGTAAAATAATGTCACAAAATCAATTGCGTCAGTTCTTGGAATTCTTTGACAGAGCTGGTGATGTAATATACAATGAACGAGATGAAGCGCTTCGAAACTACGTAATTTGTGACCCTCAGAAGCTGGTAGACATTTTGCAAACCTTGGTAAATGTGCCTGTACCTCATAAGAGAACTCGGGCCGTAGCTGACTACTGGCAAAAATTAGAAGACACAGGAATTGTCGACAGCAGATTACTGGAGTATATTTGCCAAGAACATGCAATTTGGAAATATTTTCCTCACGTTCTTCGTTTCTTAGTGGGAACACACCTGCTTTTCCCACTCATTGTTACTAATCAAGTCGACCAAGACGGTAAATTTTGTCTTCCATGTCGACTGCCAAAGATCCATCTAACGTCAAGTATATGGAACAATAATGAACACTTACAAGATATATTTTATTTTGACTTCTATGAATTCCTTCCAGAATTTATATTTCTGCGTCTTATCGCTAAATGTTGTGAAGAGTTTGATTGGGATAAGATCTATTATAATGCAGCACGATTCAGGACCAGTAAATCATGTCTATTTTTCATCAGCACACTAGTCATTTCTGACAGAAATCTGATCAAAGTTGCAGTGCATAATGAAGACAAGGCTCAGGCAGTTTACGTGTTACAGAAAATGATTACTTTCATCGAGGAGATAGTTAATCGTGATTTCAACCCGGACTGTTTTTGGGATCAGTACTGCTGTGGTCCTGAATGTGAAAGATGTAGTTCTGTGGATGGCAAAATATGCTTGGTGAACTTAATAACATCTGATAACAATTTTATCTCTGAATTGGATGGCTATAGACCAGACCAATACCATAAAATTTTACTTACACCAAAGGTATGATAAAATCGTATGTTTCGTTCCTTTCTCAGAAAATTAACAATTAGGGAACTTCCAATACTAATATATCTCTAGCATGATTATTCAAACATTATAAAGCATACTCTTGCATTGCTATAATTGCTTTAAACTTTTTTGTAAACAATTCTATGAAACAATTTATAGATCAAAGTTTGTATAGTATTGATCAAACTATATGGGGAGCTATTAACAATAATGATCGTGACATGATCTTTGTTTTACAGTTCAGTTTCACATGCAGTCGAGAGTGTAACAAGCAGGATTAGGATTTGAGACCCTTTATTCAGGTGGAGAATACTAATGAAGCAGGCAGAGATATTAATAGAAGATTCACCACTGAAGAGTACCGATTTAGGAGTCGATGTAAATTGCATCCAATGACCTACTTATCTAGCCTCTTTTAATAAACTACTGTGTACCCATTTAAACGTGAGCAGTGAATAGTTACAAAAATTTCACACTAACAGGGAATGTTACGGTTTAACTGATTTGACATCCTCGAGAATCACAACTATAGCTAAATCTCGGTCTTTGTAAATAGCCTAATTGAGAAAGCTGTCCAACATACAGCTCTACGAACATTCAACCAATAATAAATTACTATGCACTAATTGGGGTAGGACCTGGTCACTCTACGTCTTAGTACTGCTTTCAAATATTTAATACATAATAACTGGCTTGGTAAACTTAACCAATGGTGCCGTATTCTTTGGCCATGGGCAACGCATTTGCTAATTAACACATTGTACGCATTGCTTAATTACCAAGGACTTTCAAAACATGTCCCCATTATTGGAAGAATTTGGCATTATAGGATACAGCAAGTAGTGAAGTAAGGATACAATTGTTATAGAAAGCACTTTCTTAAATACAGACTCTGTCTCTTATACACATCTAGATGTGTGATTGGAAACAATAGGCTGGGTGAGATTAGAATAAACAGCCTAAACAAGTAAACAGGAAGACCAAAACTAAACTTTGGAGGCAAATATATATACATATATATGATATTAAAGGAAGTTAGCCGTTAACACTGTTGAATAAATATAATATAAATCATCAAAGGTACATATACAGTGTTTAATAAGGACATGATGGAACATCGTAGGCTACATTGTAGCTTTTCAACGAATAAAGTCCTATGAAAAATCATTGTGTAATAAAATGCCTCCGACGGGATTCGAACCTGCGACCTCTCGCTGACAAGGCGAGCGTCATAACCACTAGACCACGAAGGCTTCATGGTTGAACAGGTCCAAATACCCGTCGGAACATTGTATTACACAATGCTATGCCTCAAGAGGGCGTTCGGCCAGATAAATCTGGAAATACGGCTAGAAAATACTGTCGTATATTATATATGATATTAAAGGAAGTTAGCCGTTAACACTGTTGAATAAATGTGATATATATATATATATATACATATATATTATATATATATATATTATTTTTAAAAATCGGATCAATCAGACAACTTTCTTCAGCAAAAATTAATATTAAATAATTTGCTTAAACAATACGGTACTGTAAAAATAAGAATAGGCCTACAACGAAAAGAGCAAGAGCAACAGAACACACCCATGTTCTTTCCCCGTCCGTGTTACTACTCGGATACACTACCCCTAATATTAACAGTCTGTGTTCCATCGTTAAAAAAACGTCAGAGATCCAAAGGGTTAATAGTGGGTTTATTGGTTTCCCATTAGGTAGATCGGAAAGCCTAAAATTATTTGGAAAGTAATTTTTTGTCAGTCTCTGATTTTTCTTGTGTGTGTGTTTTAAGATGTATCAACTTTTTAACTGAATGGTACCTTATAAGATGCAACGATGATTGATGGTTGTTTGATAATGCTTAATTATTTGTGAAGCTTCAATGGGCTCAGATAAACACATGCATGATTAAGCATGTAAGCACCGCTAATGACTGCACGTAAGCAAATGACGATTTATGCAATGGCCTCTGGGGTGGTTGTCGAGCCGTCTTGAAACCGCTTTCCATTCTTCCCTGTCACCAACTCTGACATCTCGGACACAATTCATCCAGCGCTTTCCAGGTCGTACTCTCTTCTTCTTCTCCTTTTCTTTTTGCTACTTTTCTACGTGTTCCGCTTCCCATCTTACTAAATCGTCCTCTTAGAAATTAAAAGAGTGCAAAATAAAAGTTTATGATAATAGTCGCACAATATTTTTTTGACATTGTCTAATAATTAAATGCAGTCTTTTTAGCTTTAACAATTATGTCTAGATATACTGTACCCACACCCGGCCACTTCGAGAGCGAGAAATACAAAAAGAATCAATCAGATTTGAATAAAAAGCAAAATATAAGAAATATAAAAATAAGTTAACATCTATAACCAGGAAAAAGATTTACTATAAAAATGAATTTGAAAAGCGCAAGAGTAACATATAAAATATGGGGCGTTATAAACACAATATTAGGTAGAAAGAAATATCAAGACATTAAGATGAAGTTGAACTCCCAGCAACAAATGACCGGATAGCAATAGCAAATGCGTTCAACTCATACTTTATCAAGATAGGTGAGCAAATGACACGTGATGATAAGCACAACATCAACACAGCTAAGTCAATATTACACAACATGTCAAATTCAGTGTTTTTTTAGAGCGGTATCAGAATCATATATTAATAAATACATTAATGACTTAAATATAAATAAGTCATGTGGTTGTGATGATATTGGGGCCTTTTATATAAAGAATAACTCAGATATACTGGCTAAACCTTTATCTCACATGATTAATACATCATTTCAATCAGGTATATTTCCTAATCAACTGAAAATTGCTAAAACAATTTCCGTGTATAAACAGGGAGAAAAAGAGAACATAACACATTATAGACCAATATAGTTATTACCCTGTAAATATCCAAAGTGTATGAAAGGGTCGTATATGACAAAACAATCGCCTTTTTGTGTAAATGTAATCTCCTACATGAATCACAATATGCATTTAGGGCAGGCCATTCAACTAATCCCGCCATCTTACAAGTACTTGACAAAACAACAACAGCAGCCGGAGGCCCCAGGAAAAACTTTCCATTGTATACACTAATTTGAATGATGTTCTGTAGTAGTAATCTAATACAGAGTTTAATCATCAGACCTATGATGAAGCAAAAAATAAGAACACTTCGAATTCAAAACAGGCAGGTTTATTCAAGAGAGAGGTTGTTACTCACAGCATTGTTGTTATTTTTGAATTTTGCCTTTTGACATTGACAAAAATATGAGATATCAATACCTCGCACTGTTGGCCATGGTGAAGTTCAGAGTGAGAGAAAAAATGATATGTAAAAAAATATAAAGTGATTGCAATGCCTGGTGGTCTGGCATATTCCAACCTTGTAATGACTGACTATTAATTAAAATGGAATGTAATTAAATCGGCTGCCCGATGTACTGTTGATTTTTATTTATTTATTTATTTTTTTTAATTTTGATTTATATGTTCGATGTATGGTTAATCAAAAAACAATCACAGGGAGAATATACATGTGCCTTGATTCTTATAACCTTTCCTCATCGATGCGTGCATAAACGTATTGTCTTGGAATTTGGATCTAACTTGTGTATAATGATATTGATAAACAATCGAAATTCTCTGTACCGGTACTATATTATTATGCTAAACATTTACAGAGTAGACTTCCTTATGTTGTTGTTATATTAGACTGTAATATTATTATCAAAGAAGTCCATTCAACAAACAAAATAAAGCATATACATATCAGAGTTATTAGGTTAAAGTTCTTAACGTTGGGGCATGCATAAAACGTACCGGTATTTCCTAAAATTTGGATATCTGAGATTGACAGTCAAAATTCTCTGTACTATTTATGCTAATTTAACTAGTGAACTTCCTTATGATTATCGAAATATAAATTTATATTGAGCTATGCAAAGTTTAGAAGTTAAAGGAGAGGACTTCCTTATACTGTTGTTGTATGGTTATATTAAACTTTAATATCAATTAAGACCATTCAACAAACAACATAAATCATATCAAAATTATAAGGTTAAATTTTCCATTTTGGTGCATGAATATAACGTAATTTTTGAGATATATGAGATTTACATGACATTTGAGAAATGTACTGAATATAAAATCTTAAATAATTTACATTTTAAACAGTAATCTATCAGATACACCGTACTCGCGCGAATAATCTCCCCGTTTGAATAAGCGCCCCTCTCGAATAAGCGCTATATAAATGTATATTCATTTTTTGAAACAATATCTTTTTTTTTTTTTTTTTTTTTTTTTTTGGACAGCTATGAGACAGTATCTTTCCAACTTTCCTCTTAGGTTTTTTTCTAGTCCTTTTTCTTCTTTTTTCCAGACAAACTAACTCACAGCACGTTTTAATTTTGCAATAATTAAGCCCTGCAATGATCCTGCTAATTATCTCAATCGGCAGATGGTAACAAGCATACACCACCACCACTAATTTCATCTGCTGGTTGAAACTGGCATTCTTTTCATGAGCCATGCTCTCCGGACGATTTCTTTTCTGCACCAGAGCCATTTGTAATCTTCGGTTTCCCCTTGAATTTTCAAAGCTCCCATAAGAACCCCAATATTCATATATTTCTATAAGCGCCCTGTATTCCACTCTGTTTTCATAAGCCTCCGGTTTGAATATGCGCCCCTCAAAAAGTGCAAAAAAATATTTTAAGCGCCCGGGCGCTTATTTACGCGAGTACGGTACGGGGATTGGTTATACTGTAAAGCCTTTGGAACCCTACAACACTAAAACTGCTATCCAACAGGCAGTGAATATTTTTGTTATTGTCAGAGATCTTCATCTCTTTTTTATTCTACCTTTCCTTCTATTTTTGTGCGCACGATATCTCAAATTTGCTGCGAGCTGCGCACATTCGCGCTTCAACGAACATTTAGCTTGGAATAGTCACAATAAGGTCTTCAATGTGCTCAGTCATGCGTGACGTCATCTAGGTGAAATTTTGCGTTTTTACACTATCGATCATATCATCCTTACCAATTGTAATTTCTCAATCAGGTCAAGGTTGAATATCACGCTGGCGTCAAATTTTCAAAATGCTCAAAATCACTTTTTACTAAATTAGAGCACGTTTCAGGCCATTTTAGGCATTTCAATTTTACTTGACTAGGTAATTTAGTGAAGAAATTAATGTAATCCAGGCAAGTGTATAAGGGAAACTTTAGTCTGATTTTCAGCAAAAGCTCACTGTGTGTAGTAATTGACCAACTTGATTTTAATAAAAGCTAAGCCCACATAGATTCTGAATTTCAACTGAAGAAAAAATGCATCATAGTTTCTTAATCAATCAGTATATAAATCTTACACTAGAGAATTAAATAATGTAAACTATCATTAACCGTTCACTCCAGAGTTCACAGACTTGTGGTTCCTGAGTTACGGTATGTCAAGAGGGAGTAGGTTAAACATACAGGTGGAATTTAGCCTTTTTTACTATTCAAAACCTAATTAATTAAACTTATGGTCTGTCAAAAAGTGGTCAGAATGAAACCTGACCAACCGTACCGGTCGCTACGGCCCTGCAGTTGGAAAGTGTCATTCTAAAACTAAAATAGTAAAATAGGGTGTTCTACAGAGTTCCATTCTTGGACCCCTGCTGCTTTTAATTTCTATTAATGACATGTTGTTTTTAAGCAATATTGGGGATTTAATAATGTTTGCAGACGATACGAATATTTGTTTTACAACATAACGATATTTATTATCACTGCATTTACAACAATGGAAAATGAACTTGATTGTTGAGTTGTTAAAGCCATGCGAGTTTAATTAAAGATTGTGTAATGTGAGGATAAACGTAACAGTTAAAA